ACAAAGGGCGGCGTACGCCTCCTCGTCCTCCGAGCACATGTCCCCGACAGCAGTGTGGTAGTAACCAGTCCCATGCTCGTAGTGCCTGGATAGCCAGTGCACAGGGAACTTAGCCGTACGTGCCATCACGGGACTCCCATCGTCGCCCAAAACCGCCTCCCCGTCTTCATCGCTTAGAGCCTCCTCCTCCTCGTACAGGGTTCCTAAAGCCGAGGTGGTAACTGGCCGCACAACGTACCACTTGTCTTTAAAACCCCGTACGGAGTCCATATACATTTTGAAGAGTCTCCTCGACTGCTTCAAGGAGACCCAGCTATGTTTCCCGCCTCGAGACTGGCGCTGCAGATGAAAAATCCGGAAGAAGAGCGGTATGGTCGCCCCGATCCTCAGATAGCGACACGTCAGCTCAAACGCCCGGATGAAGGCGAGCGAATTTGGATGTAGCTGGGACGGGGCCAACTCCAGGTGAGTGAAGACCCCGACCTGGAAATCAGTGAAGGGCAGCCGCAACCCTAGGTCTTTGAACGCGATCTCGTACATCGCGAAGCTATATTCTGGATAAACCGAGCAGATCCTTGAACGGGATGACGGGCGCATGACTACGAAGTTCCTTTGGAAGTCGGGCTGGCCCTGGCCCGCCTCGATGACAGCGTACAGATTTCGGTCGTCTCGGCTGTAGATCGACGCGATCCCTCGAGGCTCGACGCCCACCCAATCCAGCGAAGGGTCGGTCACAGTATCAATCAGGTTGACCGACTCGTCGGTGCTTTGTTCTTCACGATCGTGGCGCCCGGAAGAGCTCGGCTCGTCCACCATGGTTACCTGCAGAGCACGGAAAACCAGTAAATTAGGCACGAAGCCATACGCTCGACAAATCACGACGTCCCATTCACGACCACATAGTCCGTTTCCACGAGTGGTTGCCTCCCCGACATCCTGAAACTCGATGTGCTCTTCCTCAAACCAACTACGCGGTCACTCTCCAACATGTCGACCCAAGGTATGAACATGGCGAGCCACACCATGAGGCCCACGGCCAAGACCATGAACATACCGGGCGCGATCATGAATCAGGCGCCCTGGATCATGAAGACCCCGGGCAGCGCTGAAGTTTATCACCTAAAACTATGAATACGCCGACCACAAACATGCGTTTGCCGGTCCTAGGCATGAATATGTCGGGCTAAGTATGAGTTTACCGGGCTAATCCCACGCGCACAGCCCTAAAACATCTACAAACGCCAAAAATCATGCATTCTAACAAGAAAATGAAGAAGATAGACCACTTACTTGAATCAAAGAGTAGGATTTGGCTACGGAGTAGAAGAATCTGTGACAGAAAGTCGCAACTGGAAAAAATCTGGAAGAGCAGCAGCAGAGAGAGCACAGAGAATAGAAACGTGTTATGGGGCCCAAGGTTCCTATTTATAGTGATGACGTGGAATACCAAACGTCACCTCGGGCAACCACGGACTCCCTCTCCTCGACGCGCTTCTCCCAACGCAATGATGACCCTATCCCCATAGGGTGGCGGCACAGTTCCCGAAAGATACCTCGTATGCTCGACAGACGCGCCCGGTAAGGATCCTCCAGGCATCCACCGCCGAAGATGTCTCCGAGCACGACACGAGGAGGCCCTCGAGGGCCCACACCTCTGTCCCGGGCACGAGACCTCGATGAGGAAGCGACCTGAGTTCAAGTCATGGCTCCTCACAAAGGAACTACGACTTGGGGGGCTCCTGTTCTGGACTGGGCCCGACAGGCCCAAAAGCATTGCAAAGTCCCAGTCCAAATGGACTTACAAGGGCCACGCCGACCAAAGAGTGAGACCGTGCCCGACGCGCAGTCACTGGCTCGACGATACACCTCCAGCTCGACATGAGGTGGTCCAGCACCACATTCTGAGGTCCAGCTCGACGTTACCTCGAGCACCCCAGCTAGGGCAGACTCAGTCCACTGTTCCCCAACGATACCCCGGAAAGACCGCGTCTCCATCCGCCCGCACTTCACGCAGAACATCCAGGAAGGGGACCACGTGCGGGTCTCCACTACGCACGTAGAACCCGGCAGTTCCTCCATTGGGCCAAACCTGCCCGGCCCAATGAAGGAACCTTGGCCCAGCGCTGGGGGCTATAAATACCCTCTGCTTCCAGAGGGTCAGGTATTCATCATTCTAACCTTACACTTGCTATTATCTGCTCGTACTCCTACTTACTTCAGCATCGGAGTGCCTTGCAGGTACCCCCCTTCGTTCAAAAAGCTTTCTGCTCGGAGCCAGCCGTGACGGTCCATTTCTGATCAGGTCAGATCATATACTATGTTAACATTTAATTATTTTAATATTATTAATTTTTAAAAAAAAATTATTTCATATTTAATATATTATATTATATATTTTTAATTTAAATAATATTATTTTAAATATATTTCTGTTAATGCTATTATTATGAGAAATATATTAACACCTTATATTTCTATTATGATAGTATTATTGAAAATATATTTACATAATATTATGTAATTGAAAAAATATTTATAAATATAAAAAATTATTGTAACACTATGTAATTGAAAAAATATTTTATAATATTTATGTTATTGAAATAATTTATATTTATATTTAATTATTTAAATATAATTATAAATATCTAATCAGTTAGCTTAAAATTTTAAACAAATTTTAAAATACTATTTAAAATAGTTAGCTTAAAATTTATTTAGAAGAAATATTGTAACCTAACTATTAATAAACATATTTAATAATATTAATGGACAATATTATTTAAATACTAATATTAACAATATTATTTTAATAAATACATTTAAAAGTTATTTGAAATAATATTTAAAAAGTTTATTTAATAGTTAGTTTACGATATTACTTCTAAATAAATTAATGTTTTATTTAATTATTAATATGTAATAAATATTTATTAAATAAATAATTTTTAAAATATAAAATTTTAAATATTTACATATAAATTTTTATTTAAAACGTAAATTTTTATTTAAATATAAATTTTTAAATATTTAATATTTACATATTAAATTTTTAAATATTTAAAATTATTTATTTAATAAATATTTAATACATATTAACAATTAAATAAAACATTAATTAATACATAATAGTAAACTATAACATATAATATATACATAATCATACATATAAACAAAATAATATATACATAATCATACATATAAACAAAATAATATATATATATATATATATATATATATATATATATATATATATATATATATATATATATATATATATATATATATATATATATATATATATATATATATATATATATATATATATATATATATATATATATATATATATATATATATATATATATATATATATATATATATATATATATATATATATAATAAAGCAAGTGTTCTGGTGGTTAAACAGTGTCCTTGTATTTTCATGTTGGCTTAAAAAAAATAATAAATAATTAAAAAAAGCTAACTAAACTTCCATATCAATGTAAAAAGAAATTATTGTCACGTCATAGATTTTGATGACAGAATTTTTTGAGGAGGCAAAATAAATTACTACGTCATTGATTCTAATGATTGAATTTCTTGAGGGAGTAAAATAGGAGAATTTTTATATGTTAAAAGACGATTTCAAACTTTTTTTACAAGAATATATTTCAAACCTCACTTATATGACATGAGACAAAATATCTATTAAACTTAAATTAATTTGTATAAATGATTATTTATAAAAATGAGATATATAGAATGTTAAATGGAAATGTGGATAGTAAACCATTTGATCATAATGATAGGATAGGCAATAAAAGGATTTGATTCCTCCGAATTGAGAAAATTAATGTGAAATATTTTACTTGAGAATTTCTTTTTTCACCTTATAAGGAAAAGAAAAATCTTATGTAATTTTTAAAATATTATTTTAAAATCAAAAATATATTTTTAGTGCGCACCATGCATCACACATAAACATATCAAATGTGGTTTCACCTTATTCAAAAGGCAAAAATAAAATCGGAATTATAGTTTCGATTGCAATCAGTAGTGTATTTTCAGTTTATATAGAGAGAAGATTGAATAGATGTATTGTATTTTCGATTTCAAATTATATTTTATCAAATCTTAGTACGTTCCGAAAATATATTTTTAATTTTTACGGTGCTTTTGTAACTTTGCGCGATGTGCTTGAAAACCATATTATTAAAATTGAACACTCTTATTGCATCCTCTTTATCCAACACCTTCGAAAAAGTTGTTAAAATTGTTTTTGATATTTTAACTTTATCTTATTTCGTTTAATTAAACATGTTTTAAAAATGTCAACAAAAGGGTTTGTTCCATTGTTAAGTAGTTGGCTCATATCCAAAAGATTATGGATTTTGAGTTGGCTCATACCTAAAACACCAAGAGTTTAACTCATACTATATGCGACTTCTTCAGTGACATTTGTCCAAATCACTTAAACTTTATAAAACCGAAACAAGTTTTTGAAGTAGTCATCTAAATGCAATTTGAATTTGTCCATGATGGTGAGATTTCTGATTACTTAGTTTGGTCAAGCACGCAAAATACGTTGCGAACGGGACTCCTTCCCTTTCGGATTAAACTTGTACTAGTATCTTTATTGTGTAATAGATTAAACTATCCCTCTTTGTTATTTTTAATATAGATTCACATACAAATTAATGAAAATATATTCAATATATGCAATTTCTTAGAAGAAAAATATATGTATTTTTATAAACACTAGTTTGAGTGGGGTCGGTCTTACTCCAAACACAAATATAGCCAAAATCATAGTATAAGCTGTTAATGAGTTGAAGATGTATCCTATGAAGCTAAAGTGTCGTTTGCATAGTTAATATCTAGAAAAAACCGTCCTTGTTGGTGGTGAAAAAATAGACAGGTTCCTAATATCATTTGAATTCAAATCTTACTATCATATCCCACTGTTATTATATGATTTTGGTTCAGTTTTGATGATGATGGTGTCAAACACTACCATTCCCAGTTTCCGTTCAACATCGTTGCGCATAATTGGAGCTTTGATTGCGATGACGTTGCTGTTGTGGACCATCAGAAGTGGATATCAAACTGCAACTGATCAACCTAGGCACCAATTATATGGCCAATGGGTTTCACATGTTGGAGTCTTGATTATGCTTTTTGGTTTCTTGCTTCTGGCTACTGGGTTGCCTATAATTGCAGACTTGCTTTTTGGGTTGTCGGAGGAGCTACAATATCCAGAGGAAATTGATCTTCATCAGAGCACCATCGACCTGAAAATAAAAGTTGATGCTTGTATCTAGTTTTAGCCGGAAGTTACTACAAGTGCACAAATAGGACATATCCTCTTTTAATCTTCACTGTAGATTACACTTCAGTTCTTGCATAAACACATTTAGACATTACTTTTTCATCTTCAAAACACAAATGTTTTTGTTTTATACTTTATTCTAAACAATGTTAGTTCTCTAAATCTTGAGTGAAATTTTTTCTTTCAAAACTACTTCAGCCTTTGTGAATATACAAAGTAAATGCGACAGTGTTTTGTGAATATGATCACAATATTCATGCTCTTGCTAAGCATTTTATACCAGAATGTTGCTTTAAAGGCTTTAAAGCAAACGCTGCTGGACTTCTTATTGGAAATAATTTATATTTTAGAAATGTCTTAATGATTAAGTTTGTTAGAGGGTATTTTAGTATTTTATTATATCATAATTTTGTGTATAAATAACCTAGTAGTAGGTTAACGTAATTAATTCATTAATCCTTATTTTGTAACCGTCATTCAATATATTCCTTTATTTGTCTTTCATCTCTCCTTGTGCACCAACAATTGATATCTAGAGCTTTGGTTCGAAATCCACAGGAAAACACGAGTGAACAGTGAGGTGTTTTGTGATTGAGAATCACATTTTTTCTGATTCTGTGGGATTTGGAAAACACTGTTTTAGTGGGTTTTTGAGTGAATTGCACAAGGTTGAAGATGAACGGAAACGACGATATCAATTCTAAGCTTCCAGTATTTGATGACAAAAATTGGAATTGTTGAAAGATCCAGATGTGTGTGTTGTTCGGTTCTCAAGATGTGTTAGATCTTGTCACCGATGGCTATGCTCTGTTAGCATCAAACACTACAGAAGCACAGAAGATATCGTAGAAGGCGATAAGGAAGAAAGATCAGAAGACATTATTCTACATCCATCAATGTCTGGATGCGAATGTGTTTGAGAAGATTGCTGACTCTGAAACAACAAAGGTTGTGTGGGACACACTGGTCAGATATTACGGTGGTGACACATCAGTGAAGAAGATGAATCTTCAGTCTCTCAGAAAGAAATATGAGAATCTCAACACGAAGGACAATGAGAAGGTTTCTGAGTACATCTCTAGAGTGATTCTGATCACTAATGAGATGAAAGCTTGTGGAGAAACTTTTTCCGAACAAGTAATCATAGAGAAGATATTGAGATCTTTAACTTCTTAGTTTGATTATATTGTGGTAGTAATTGGACATTCTAAAGATCTGAGCACCATGAGAGTTGAAGAGCTGCAAAATAATCTAGAGGCGCATGAGTTGCGTATGACTGAGAGAACTTCTGAGAGGGAAGTAGAGCAGCAGGCTCTAAAAGCAACTTCTGGTAAGAAGTATCAGAAGCAGACTTGGTCAAAAGCCACGAAGAAAATTAATGGTGGTCAAAGGTCAGAAGCTTCAAACTCTGATAGGCAGAAGAATATCCAGAAGGGAAGGAGAAGTCTGACAAGAAGAATGTTCAGTGTTACCGTTGCAAGAACTTTGGTCACTATGCCAAAGATTGCTGGCCAAACATAGAAAGAAAGTCAGAAGAAGTAAATATAACCAGAAGAGTGTCTGATGATGAACATATGCTATTAACGGCTTATGAATCTGATGAGGAACTAATGAAATTGTCATTTTCTGTTTTTTAAGGGAAAGAAGATGACTCTGAAGGAGTGTTTGAATATGAATCCGAATCAGAAGATGACACTGAAGACTCCAAAGATGAGTCAGAATCTGAGGTTTCTACAGATGAGTTAAAGTTAGAAGATAACTATAAAGTTGAAGACAAGTCAAACTCCGAAGGTGATTCTGAGTCTGAAGAAGAATCAAAAGATGAGTCAGAATCTGAAGAAGATTCTACTTCTGAAGAAGAGTCAGAAGATGATGACTTTGGAAACTCTGAAGATGAGACAGATGGTGAATCTGATTCTGATCCAGATTTTGATGATGATTCAGAATCTGGTGGTGGTCATGCTTCTAGAAGGGAAAACTTTGAAGACGTAGGTTCTAGAGAACAAGCTTTTAAAGATGATCATGTTTCTGGTGGAAATTGTAACGCCTGTAATTTAATTAATTATTTAATTAAATTAGTTTTGGATTATTTGTGAAGTTATGTTATGATGATAGTTGATGTGTTGTTGTTATTGAATTTATTTATTCTATTAATTTGTGGAATAATATTAGAATAATAATATTATTTAATGTGGGCTTATTTTAAGGGTTAGAAGTAGTAGAAAGGGGTGTAGGAGTTTTAAGCCCATTAAGATCTAATGAGAATTATAAGGTTATTATATTAGTTATTTAGAATTAATATGGAAAAAAAGAAGCAGTAAGAAGAGAAAGAAATAAGGGTTGGAAGAGAACGTGAAAGTTGCAGAAAAGAAGGAAAAGAGCCTGAACGAAATTCAATCGGAAAAGTCGTAGAGCAACCTTCAATTCAAGATAAGGGTGGGGTTCTGACTCTATAATAGGGTTTAGAATGAGTAGTATGTGGGATTAGATGTGAAAATTTGTCTTGTTTATGATTGGAATGTATATATTGTTGTATGATGAAGATCAATGATTTAAAGATGAATAATGATACCCCAATGTTGTATAATTGATGTAGAAATATAGGATTATTATAATTGATGATTACCTATGATTAGAGGGTGTTTTTAGGGCCTAAGGCAGGAGATCGCAGTGAAAACATAGTGAAATCGCAGAAAATATTCATGACAACACAGTATACGTCGACCTCAAAAGCCATGCGTCGATACATGCAGGTTTTTGGACTCAGGATGAGTCGATACGAAGGAGCATGCGTTGATACATGCGGTGTCGCAGACTCAGTATGAGTCGATACAAAAGGATTACGCATCGACTCATATGTTAGCCCAATACGCGTCGACTCAAAACAGTATGCGTCGACTCATGTAGTCTGATTTTTGGCAGATTCGTTTCCAAAGGCTGTAACTTGAGTTTCCGGACTCTGTTTGAGGTGTCGTTCGAAGCGTTGAATAGATGACGCGATGAACTTCATTCTTAAGGATTAAAATGAAGGATAATAAGAATAATCCTAGTAACCCAAATTAGGATTAGAGTTAGCTTCCCGCGTTAATCGCTATGATGATTTTGTGAAGTATGATGAGGATAAGACGATTATAGATTATTGTTTGGTTCATAACAATAAGATTAATAATGATAATGATGTAGTATTACAGAATAGTAATAGGTAGAGGTTTGGTAATTTAGAGATAAGCCTTAGATGATTAATTAATTATAGGCATTATCATGTTGTAGGCCTAAAGCCAATGTTGCAGGATTGTCGATCTATCATTGTATTAATGTTGTGGCTGAGTTGCTGTAAAATTATGTTTATGAATTACGTTGATGAAATTATGTTTGAATGTTACACTTATGTTTGTAACGTGCAGGTAATCCAGAGTGAAGGTGGTTTACCTTCAGTAGTTCGAGTCAGTGTCATTGCTCTGATACGTAACACTCGGGGGGGATGAATGCTTGTTGCTTTTAGTTATTGATTATCTCAGTTGTTGAACTTTAATTTGTTTGTTTCTAAGTTTGCATTATTTTGAAGTTATTGTAATTGTTGGACAAGGATGTTATTATGATTCCGCTGCGTAGTTGTTCAAGTTGTTGAATGAAGAGATTAGACTATTATGTTGTTGGTTCATCCGAACTTTAAAGTGTTATGTATCCATGTTGAATGCAACGTGTTTTTAAAGTTGAATTTATGGCATCCTAATTCAGTTGCATTAATTTTACGACTCTGATTTACATTTATAATTATCGGGTAGAATTAGGGTGTTACAAAGTTGGTATCAGAACAAAGGTTGGTCCATCCGACCTTGTTGTCGAGTCGTAGTTGTCTAACAATCGAGTATTGTTAATTTGAGTTCTAACCATTGTTTATATTATAGTGATAAGTTGAGATGGCTGGAAGGAATGATGTTGCACTTCCTGCTGCTTTAGAAGCAATGTCGCATGTGATGGAGAATCAGCCGAATGCTGACGGGAATATTGGATCTCGTAGTTTGGCGACCTTCCAGAGAGAGAATTCGTCTACCTTCAAGGGAAAGTATGATCCTGATGGAGCATTGTATTGGTTGAAAGAGATCGAGAGAATCTTTTGTGTGATGGACTGCACTCCAGTGCAGAAGGTTCGATATGGTACTCATATGCTAGCAGTTGAGGCTGATGACTGGTGGCTAGATACTTGTTAGAGATTGGAAGCTGCAGGTGAAAATGTCACTTGGGCTATGTTCCGTAGGGAATTTCTGAGGAAGTATTTTCCTGAAGACATTTGTGATAAGAGGGGAATTGAATTCCTTGATCTGAAGAAAGGGAATATGTCGGTTGTTGAGTATGCTGCAAATTTTGCTGAGTTGGCTAAGTTTTATCCGCACTACGCTGAGGAAAATGGTGAGTTTTCAAAGTGTATCAAGTTTGAGAATGGGTTGCGCCCAGAGATCAAGAAGGCAGTGGGATACCAGAAGATCCGTGTCTTTGCTGATTTGATTGATAGTTGTAGAATTTATGAAGAGGATAATAATGCTCATTACAAGATTATCAGTGAGAAGAGGGGTAAGCACCAACAGAATCGTGGTAAGCCTTATGATACCCTAGCTGGTAAAGGTAAACAGAAAGTTGCTCAGGGTCAGAGGACTAGTGGGGGAGATGCTCCTGCTGGTGTGGTTTGTTTTAAATATGGGAAACCTGGGCATAAGAGTAATGTGTGTACTACTGAAGTAAAGAGGTGTTTCCGTTGTGGTAAGAACGAACATGTTGTATCTGAGCGCAAACATAAGGATGTGATTTGTTTCAATTGTAGTGAAGAAGGGCATATTGGTAGTCAGTGTAAGAAACCAAAGAGGGCGCAGACAAGTGGTAAATTGTTCGCTTTGGTTGAGGATCAGACAGCTGCTGAGGTCAGACTTATCAGGGGTACATGTTTCATTAATAGTACTCCTTTAATTACTATTATTGATATAGGTGCTACTCATT